TGACTCTACTGTAGTGTGCTAAGTAGTGGTTCTGCTAAAGACTCTTAGTGGCTGTGAAGTAGGGTCTGCTAATGACTTACTGTAGTGGCTGCGAAGTGTGGTCTGCTAAATGACTCTACTGTGATAAGGGCTGCTGAAGCTAGTGGTTCTGCTATAAGACTTCTACTGTAGTGGCTGCTGAAGCTAGTGGTTCTGCATAATGACTCTCTATGTAGTGCTGCTGAAGCTAGGGTTCTGCTAAATGCTCTCTACTGAGTGGCTGCTGAGCTAGTGGTTCTGCTAAAGACTCTCTACTGTAGTGGCTGCTGAGATAGTGGTTCTGCTAAATGATCTCTATGTAGTGGCTGGATGAAGTAGTGGTCTGCTAATGACTCTCTACTGTAGGGCTGCTGAAGTAAGTGGTTCTGCTAAATGCTCTCTATGTATGGCGCTGTGAAGTAGTGGTTCTGCTAAATGACTCTCTACTAGTGGCGCTGAAGCTAGGGTTCTGCTAATGACTCCTACTGGTGAGCTGCGGCGCTGAAGCAGTGGTTCTGGAAATGGACTCTCTACTGTAGTGCGTGCTGGAGCTAGTGGTTCTGCTAAATGACTCTTACTGTAGTGGCTGCTGAAAGTAGTGGTTCTGTAATGACCTCTACTGTAGTGCTGGAAGCAGTGGTTCTGTAAATGACTTTACGTAGGGCTGCTGAAGCTAGTGGTTCTGGCTAATGACTCTCTAAGTAGTGGCTGCTGAAGCTAGTGGTTCTGGATAAATGACTCTTACTGTAGTGCTGCTGAGACTAGTGGTTCTGTAAATGACTCTCTACTGTAGGTGCTGCTAAGCTAGTGGTTCTGCTAATGATCTTACTGTAGTGGCGCTGGCTAGTGGTTCTGCTAAATGACTCTCTACTGTAGTGGCTGATGAAGCTAGGTTCTGCTAAAGATCTCTACTGTAGTGGTGCTGAAGCTGTGGTTCTGCTAAATGACTCTCGACTTAGTGCTGCTGAAGTAGTGGTTCTGCTAAATGACTCTTACGTAGGGATGCTGAGCTGTGGTATGCTAATGACTCTCTAATGAGTGGCTGCTGGAGCATAGGTTCTGCTAAATGACTCTATACTGTAGTGGGCTGAAGCTAGTGGTTCTCTAATATCTTAGTGGCTGCTGAAGCTAGTGGTTCTGTAAATGACTCTACTGTAGTGGCTGCTGAAGTAGTGGTTCTGCTAAATGACTCTATATAGGTGCTGCTGAGCTAGTGGTTATGCTAAATGACTCTCTACTGTAGTGGATGCGAAGTAGTGGTCTGCTAAATGACTCTACTGTAGTGCTGCTGAAGCTAGTGGTTCTGCTAAAGACTCTACTAGTAGTGTCTGAGCTAGTGGTTTGCTAAATGACTTCTCGTAGGGCTGTCTGAGCTAGTGGTCGCTAAATGGACTCTACTGTAGTGGCTGCTGGAGCTAGGGTTCTGCTAATGACTCTCACTGTAGTGGCGCTGAAGCTAGTGGTTCTGTAAATGACTCTGGATGTAGGGCTCTGGATAGTGGTCTGCTAAAGACTCTACTGTAGGGCTGCTGAAGCTTAGGTGTCTGATAAATGACTCTTATGTAGTGTGCTGAGACTAGTGGTTCTGCTAAATGACTCTCTACGGTAGTGCTGCTGGATAAGAGCGGTTCTGCTAATGACTCTCTACTGTATGGGCTGCTGAGTAGTGTTGCTAAATGATCTCTACTGTCTGGTGATAAGTAGTGGTTCTGCTAATGACTCTCTACTGTAGTGGCTGCTGAAGCTAGTGGTTCTGCTAAATGACTCTTACTGTAGTGGCTGCTGAGCTAGTGGTTCTGCTAAATGGACTCCTACTGTAGTGGCTGCTGAAGCTAGTGGTTCTGCTAAATGACTCTCTACTGTAGGGCGATGAAGCTAGTGGTTCTGCTAATGACTCTCTACTGTAGTGGCTGCTGAAGCTAGTGGTTCTGCTAAATGACTCTCTACTGTAGTGGCTGCTGAGCTAGTGGTTCTGCTAATGACTCTCTACTGTAGTGGCTGCTGAAGCTAGTGGTTCTGCTAAATGACTCTTATGTAGTGGCTGCTGAAGCTAGTGGTTCTGCTAAATTGACTCTCTACTGTAGTGCTGCTGAAGCTAGTGGTTCTGCTAAACTGACTCTCTACTGTAGTGGCTGCGGAACGCTATGGTTTCTATGCCTTACAATGACTCTCTACCTGTAGTGGCTGCTGAAAAGCTAGTGGGTCTTTGCTAAATGACTCTCTACGGTAGTGGCTGCTGAAGCCTAGTGGTTCTGCTAAATGACTATCTACTGTATGGGCTGCTGAAGCTAGTGGTTATGCTTAACTGACTCTCTACTGTTTAGTGGTGTCTGAAGCTAGTGGTTCTTTGCCTAAATGACTCTCTACTGTAGTGGTGCTGAAAGCTAGATGGTTCTGCTAATTGGACTCTCATACTGTAGTGGCTGCTGAAGGCTAGTTGGTTCTGCTAAATGACTCTCACTGTAGTGGCTGCTGGAGCTAGTTGGTTTCTGCTAAAATGACTCTCTACTGTAGTGGGCTGCTGAAGCATAGTGGTTGGTTCTGCTAAATGACTCTCTACTGTAGTGGCGCTGAAGCTAGTGGTTCTGCTAAATGACTCTCTACTTAGTGGCTGCTGAAGCTAGTGGTTCTGCCTAAATGACTCTCTACTGTAGTGGCTGACTGAAGCTAGTGGTTCTGCTAAATGACTCTCTACTGTGTGGCTGCTGGAAGCTAGTGGTTCTGCTAAATGACTCTTACTGTAGTGGCTGCTGAAGCTAGTGGTTCTGCTAAATGACTCTCTACTGTAGTGGCTGCTGAGCTAGTGGTCTCTGCTAAATGATCTCTACTGTAGTGGCTGCTGAAGCTAGTGGTTCTGCTAAATGACTCTCTACTGTAGTGGCTGCTGAAGCTAGTGGTTCTGCTAAATGACTCTCTACTGTAGTGGCTGCTGGAGCTAGTGGTTCTGCTAAATGACTCTCTACTGTAGTGGCTGCTGAAGCTAGTGGTTCTGCTAAATGACTCTCTACTGTAGTGGCTGCTGGAGCTAGTGGTTCTGCTAAATGACCTCTACTGTAGTGGCTGCTGAAGCTAGTGGTTCTGCTAAATGACTCTCTACTGTAGTGGCTGCTGGAGCTAGTGGTTCTGCTAAATGACTCTCTACTGTAGTGGCTGCTGGAGCTAGTGGTTCTGCTAAATGACTCTACTGTAGTGGCTGCTGGAGCTAGTGGTTCTGCTAAATGACTCTCTACTGTAGTGGCTGCTGGAGCTAGTGGTTCTGCTAAATGGACTCTCTACTGTAGGGCTGCTGAGCTAGTGGTTCTGCTAAATGACTCTCTACTGTAGTGGCTGCTGAAGCTAGTGGTTCTGCTAAATGACTCTCTACTGTAGTGGCTGCTGAAGCTAGTGGTTCTGCTAAATGACTCTACTGTAGTGGCTGCTGGAGCTAGTGGTTCTGCTAAATGACTCTCTACTGTAGTGGCTGCTGAAGCTAGTGGTTCTGCTAAATGACTCTCTACTGTAGTGGCTGCTGAAGCTAGTGGTTCTGCTAAATGACTCTCTACTGTAGTGGCTGCTGGAGCTAGTGGTTCTGCTAAATGACTCTCTACTGTAGTGGCTGCTGAAGCTAGTGGTTCTGCTAAATGACGCTCTACTGTAGTGGATGCTGAAGCTAGTGGTTCTGCTAAATGACTCTCTACTGTAGTGGCTGCTGGAGCTAGTGGTTCTGCTAAATGACTTCTCTACTGTAGTGGCTGTGAGCTAGTGGTTCTGCTAAATGACTCTCTACTGTAGTGGCTGCTGGAGCTAGTGGTTCTGCTAAATGACTCTCTACTGTAGTGCGGCTGCGAGCTAGTGGTTCTGCTAAATGACTCTCTACTGTAGTGGCTGCTGAACTAGTGGTTCTGCTAAATGACTCTCTACTAGTGCTGATGAGATAGTGGTTCTGCTAAAGACTCTTACTGTAGTGGCTGCTGAGCTAGGGTTCTGCTAAATGACTCTCTAACTGTATGGCTGCTGAAGCTAGTGGTTTGCTAAATGACTCTCTACTGTAGGGCTGCTGAAGCTAGTGGTTCTGCTAAATGACTCTCTACTGTGTGGCTGCTGGAAGCTAGTGGTTCTGCTAAATGACTCTCTACTGTAGTGGCGTGAGCTAGTGGTTCTGCTAAATGAATCTCTACTGTAGTGGCTGCTGAGCTAGTGGTTCTGCTAAATGACTCTCTACTGTAGTGGCTGCTGAAGCTAGTGGTTCTGCTAAATGACTCTCTACTGGTAGTGGCTGCTGAAGCTAGTGGTTCTGCTAATGACTCCTACTGTAGTGGCTGCTGAAGTAGTGGTTCTGCTAAATGACTCTCTACTGTAGTGGCTGCTGAAGCTAGTGGTTCTGCTTAAATGACTCTCTACTGTAGTGGCTGCTGAAGCTAGTGGTCTGCTAATGACTCTCTACTGTAGTGGTGCTGGAAAGCTAGTGGGTTCTGCTAAATGACTCTCTACTGTAGTGGCTGCTGAAGCTAGTGGTTCTGCTAAATGACTCTCTACTGTAGTGGCTGCTGGAGCTAGTGGTTCTGCTAAATGACTCTCTGTCTAGCCATGATCCCCAGCTTGAATAATTTTGAAAATAATAAATATTGTACAATCCAGGTGTGCAAATCTCTTAGAGACTCACAGCTGTAATCCAGGTGTAGAGACTTACCCAGAAAGACTCACAGCTGTAATCCAGGTGTAGAGACTTACCCAGAAAGACTCTGTAATGGCTGCCAAAGGTGATCTAAAATGTACTGACTCAGGGAGCTGAATACTTATGCAACGACTATATTTTAGTTGTTTAATTTCTGTGTAGATTGTTGACAAAAAATTACACAATTAAATCCACTTTGTAACACAATAAAATGTGAAGGGGTCTGAATACTTTTGCAAGGCACTGTACATGTGAAGAAAGGGGTCTGAATACTTTTGCAAGGCACTGTACACACACACACAGAGCATTTCCCTGTTTCCCTCCGTACCTGTAGGTAGGTCATCTTCTCCTTGGCCAGGGACACGAAGGGAAGGATAAACAGAGCTTTCCTCCTGGTCTCCAGTACTCTCTTCAGCATCAACAGCTCTGCCACCAGGGTCTTCCCTGCACTGGTTGGGGCTGGGGATTAGAGGTCAGGGGTTAAAGGTCAGGGGTCAGGGTTCTGGGCGGGGGGTAGTAGATTGGTAGGGTACCTGAGTAGACCAGGTTGTGTCCCTGCAGCACTCGTCCCAGACTGAGACACTGAGCCTGCCAGGGGAACATGGAGGAGACACCATGACGACGGTAGCGATCAAGGACCACAGCAGGTAGACCCCAGCTGGACAACAACAACCTGTCACACTGCTCGTCTGGACGCACACACACCTCTGATACACCAACCCCTGGGGGAAACACACACACGTTACATATACACACACACACACACATTAGATACACACACTGACTAGTCTTTTCATCCTGTACCTGTGGTGTTGAGTGTGCTGGCCTCCAGCCCAGTAGGGGGCGTGAGAACAGAAGCAGACATGTTGTTCCTCAGAGACCGCTGTAGCTCCGCTCTCTCCCTCGCCAGCGCCAGGTGGGAGGGGTTGAACAGGATGAAGTCATCAGACACGTCCAATCGGGAGTCCGCATTCTGGCAGGAACTACTTCCTCTTCCTGTGGGTGTGGTCTCAGAGCTCCTCCTCCTGGCCCTGCGCTTCCTACTGTCAACAACAACATTCAAATGAAATAAAGATGTATTGGCAGGTTGTTAAAGGTAAAACCACGTCAAGTTAGAATAAGATGAAATGATGTTGATGAATCTACTGTGAAGACACACCCTCTGGAGCTGCAGTTCCGCTGAGGGGGTGGGACGTCCGTGGGTCTGTGTGGAAGTGTCCCAGCATGCTCTCTGTCCTCTGAGTCTTCACTGAACAGCAGGCACTGAGCCAGGTCCTTACGGTCCGCTGTCTGAATCAGCCCTGGCCGCTCAAACACACCTGGTCCAAGTCTAACCCTAGCCCCGACCTCTGGTCCTGGTCCAAGTCTAACCCTAGCCCCGACCTCTGGTCCTGGTCCTGGGCTTGGTGTCAGGATGTGGGAGGTCTGGGCTGGGGCTGCTGAGGCGTGGGATACCCCTCTCTGGATTAAAGACACCCCTCTCTCTACCCCATGTGTTAATTTCATCCCTCCAGGGTCCAGAGCTTCCAGCGCCTGCAGCATCTCCTCTCCAGGGTCCAGAGAGGAGTCTCCTACCACACACCCCTGTCCTGCAGCCACATTCTGGGCCATGTGTGTGTTGTCATGCAGAGTGTGGGTATGAGTGTTTTGCAGGCGACTGGAGCGTCTTGGGGTGAGTGGCTGCTCAGGGTCGGGGACACTGCAGAGAGAAACAGAGTTAAAACATCTAGTCAGGGACACTGCAGAGAGAAACAGAGTTAAACATCTAGTCAGGGACACTGCAGAGAGAAACAGAGTTAAAACATCTAGTCAGGGACACTGCAGAGAGAAACAGAGAGTTAAAAACATCTAGTCAGGGACACTGCAGAGAGAAACAGAGAGTTTAAAACATCTAGTCAGGGACACTGCAGAGAGAAACAGAGAGTTAAAACATCTAGTCAGGGACACTGCAGAGAGAAACAGAGAGTTAAAACATCTAGTCAGGGACACTGCAGAGAGAAACAGAGTTAAAACATCTAGTCAGGGACACTGCAGAGAGAAACAGAGAGTTAAAACATCTAGTCAGGGACACTGCAGAGAGAAACAGAGTTAAAACATCTAGTCAGGGACACTGCAGAGAGAAACAGAGAGTTAAAACATCTAGTCAGGGACACTGCAGAGAGAAAACAGAGAGTTAAAACATCTAGTCAGGGACACTGCAGAGAGAAACAGAGTTAAAAACATCTAGTCAGGGACACTGCAGAGAGAAACAGAGTTAAAACATCTAGTCAGGGACACTGCAGAGAGAAACAGAGTTAAAACATCTAGTCAGGGACAGCAGAGAGAAACAGAGAGTTAAAAACATCTAGTCAGGGACATGCAGAGAGAAACAGAGTTAAAACATCTAGTCAGGGACACTGCAGAGAGAAACAGAGAGTTAAAACATCTAGTCAGGGACACTGCAGAGAGAAAACAGAGAGTTAAAAACATCTAGTCAGGGACACTGCAGAGAGAAACAGAGTTAAAACATCTAGTCAGGGACACTGCAGAGAGAAACAGAGTTAAAACATCTAGTCAGGGACACTGCAGAGAGAAACAGAGTTAAAACATCTAGTCAGGGACACTGCAGAGAGAAACAGAGAGTTAAAACATCTAGTCAGGGACACTGCAGAGAGAAACAGAGAGTTAAAACATCTAGTCAGGGACACTGCAGAGAGAAACAGAGAGTTAAAACATCTAGTCAGGGACACTGCAGAGAGAAAACAGAGTTAAAACATCTAGTCAGGGACACTGCAGAGAGAAACAGAGAGTTAAAAATCTAGTCAGAGACACTGCAGAGAGAAAACAGAGAGTTAAAACATCTAGTCAGGGACACTGCAGAGAGAAACAGAGAGTTAAAACATCTAGTCAGGGACACTGCAGAGAGAAACAGAGAGTTAAAACATCTAGTCAGGGACACTGCAGAGAGAAACAGAGAGTTAAAACATCTAGTCAGGGACACTGCGAGAGAAACAGAGAGTTTAAAACATCTAGTCAGGGACACTGCAGAGAGAAACAGAGTTAAAACATCTAGTCAGGGACACTGCAGAGAGAAAACAGAGAGTTTAAAACATCTAGTCAGGGACACTGCAGAGAGAAACAGAGAGTTAAAACATCTAGTCAGGGACACTGCAGAGAGAAACAGAGAGTTAAAACATCTAGTCAGGGACACTGCAGAGAGAAACAGAGTTAAAACATCTAGTCAGGAACACTGCAGAGAGAAACAGAGAGTTAAAACATCTAGCCAGGGACACTGCAGAGAGAAACAGAGTTAAAACATCTAGTCAGGGACACTGCAGAGAGAAACAGAGAGTTAAAACATCTAGTCAGGGACACTGCAGAGAGGAAACAGAGAGTTAAAACATCTAGTCAGGGACACTGCAGAGAGAAACAGAGTTAAAACATCTAGTCAGGGACACTGCAGAGAGAAACAGAGTTAAAACATCTAGTCAGGGACACTGCAGAGAGAAAACAGAGTTAAAACATCTAGTCAGGGACACTGCAGAGAGAAACAGAGTTAAAACATCTAGTCAGGGACACTGCAGAGAGAAACAGAGAGTTAAAAACATCTAGTCAGGGACACTGCAGAGAGAAACAGAGAGTTAAAACATCTAGTCAGGGACACTGCAGAGAGAAACAGAGAGTTAAAACATCTAGTCAGGGACACTGCAGAGAGAAACCAGAGTTTAAAACACTCTAGTCAGGACTGCAGAGAAACAGAGTTAAAACATCTAGTCAGGGACACTGCAGAGAGAACAGAGTTAAAACATCTAGTCAGGGACACTGCAGAGAGAAACAGAGAGTTAAAACATCTAGTCAGGGACCACTGCAGAGAGAAACAGAGTTTAAAACATCTAGTCAGGGACACTGCAGAGAGAAACAGAGTTAAAACATCTAGTCAGGGACACTGCAGAGAGAAACAGAGAGTTAAAACATCTAGTCAGGGACACTGCAGAGAGAAACAGAGTTAAAACATCTAGTCAGGGACACTGCAGAGAGAAACAGAGTTAAAACATCTAGTCAGGGACACTGCAGAGAGAAACAGAGAGTTAAAACATCTAGTCAGGGACACTGCAGAGAGAAACAGAGAGTTAAAACATCTAGTCAGGGACACTGCAGAGAGAAACAGAGTTAAAACATCTAGTCAGGGACACTGCAGAGAGAAACCAGAGTTAAAACATCTAGTCAGGGACACTGCAGAGAGAAACAGAGTTAAAACATCTAGTCAGGGACACTGCAGAGAGAAACAGAGAGTTAAAACATCTAGTCAGGGACACTGCAGAGAGAAACAGAGTTAAAACATCTAGTCAGGGACACTGCAGAGAGAAACAGAGTTAAAACATCTAGTCAGGGACACTGCAGAGAGAAACAGAGAGTTAAAACATCTAGTCAGGGACACTGCAGAGAGAAACAGAGAGTTAAAACATCTAGTCAGGGACACTGCAGAGAGAAACAGAGAGTTAAAACATCTAGTCAGGGACACTGCAGAGAGAAAACAGAGAGTTAAAACATCTAGTCAGGGACACTGCAGAGAGAAACAGAGTTTAAAACATCTAGTCAGGGACACTGCAGAGAGAAACAGAGTTAAAACATCTAGTCAGGGACACTGCAGAGAGAAACAGAGAGTTAAAACATCTAGTCAGGGACACTGCAGAGAGAAAAAGAGAGTTAAAACATCTAGTCAGGGACACTGCAGAGAGAAACAGAGAGTTAAAACATCTAGTCAGGGACACTGCAGAGAGAAACAGAGAGTTAAAACATCTAGTCAGGGACACTGCAGAGAGAAACAGAGAGTTAAAACATCTAGTCAGGGACACTGCAGAGAGAAACAGAGTTAAAACATCTAGTCAGGGACACTGCAGAGAGAAACAGAGTTAAAACATCTAGTCAGGGACACTGCAGAGAGAAACAGAGAGTTAAAAACATCTAGTCAGGGACACTGCAGAGAGAAACAGAGAGTTAAAACATCTAGTCAGGGACACTGCAGAGAGAAACAGAGAGTTAAAAACATCTAGTCAGGGACACTGCAGAGAGAAACAGAGTTAAAACATCTAGTCAGGGACACTGCAGAGAGAAACAGAGAGTTAAAACATCTAGTCAGGGACACTGCAGAGAGAAACAGAGAGTTAAAACATCTAGTCAGGGACACTGCAGAGAGAAACAGAGAGTTAAAACATCTAGTCAGGGACACTGCAGAGAGAAACAGAGAGTTAAAACATCTAGTCAGGGACACTGCAGAGAGAAACAGAGAGTTAAAACATCTAGTCAGGGACACTGCAGAGAGAAACAGAGAGTTAAAACATCTAGTCAGGGACACTGCAGAGAGAAACAGAGAGTTAAAACATCTAGTCAGGGACACTGCAGAGAGAAACAGAGAGTTAAAACATCTAGTCAGGGACACTGCAGAGAGAAACAGAGAGTTAAAACATCTAGTCAGGGACACTGCAGAGAGAAACAGGAGTTAAAACATCTAGTCAGGGACACTGCAGAGAGAAACAGAGAGTTAAAACATCTAGTCAGGGACACTGCAGAGAGAAACAGAGTTAAAAACATCTAGTCAGGGACACTGCAGAGAGAAACAGAGTTAAAACATCTAGTCAGGGACACTGCAGAGAGAAACAGAGTTTAAAACATCTAGTCAGGGACCACTGCAGAGAGAAACAGAGAGTTAAAACATCTAGTCAGGGACACTGCAGAGAGAAACAGAGTTAAAACATCTAGTCAGGGACACTGCAGAGAGAAACAGAGAGTTAAAACATCTAGTCAGGGACACTGCAGAGAGAAACAGAGAGTTAAAACATCTAGTCAGGGACACTGCAGAGAGAAACAGAGAGTTAAAACATCTAGTCAGGGGACACTGCAGAGAGAAACAGAGAGTTTAAAACATCTAGTCAGGGACACTGCAGAGAGAAACAGAGTTAAAACATCTAGTCAGGGACACTGCAGAGAGAAACAGAGAGTTAAAACATCTAGTCAGGGACACTGCAGAGAGAAACAGAGAGTTAAAACATCTAGTCAGGGACACTGCAGAGAGAAACAGAGAGTTAAAACATCTAGTCAGGGACACTGCAGAGAGAAACAGAGAGTTAAAACATCTAGTCAGGGACACTGCAGAGAGAAACAGAGAGTTAAAACATCTAGTCAGGGACACTGCAGAGAGAAACAGAGAGTTAAAACATCTAGTCAGGGACACTGCAGAGAGAAACAGAGAGTTAAAACATCTAGTCAGGGACACTGCAGAGAGAAACAGAGAGTTAAAACATCTAGTCAGGGACACTGCAGAGAGAAACAGAGAGTTAAAACATCTAGTCAGGGACACTGCAGAGAGAAACAGAGAGTTAAAACATCTAGTCAGGGACACTGCAGAGAGAAACAGAGAGTTAAAACATCTAGTCAGGGACACTGCAGAGAGAAACAGAGAGTTAAAACATCTAGTCAGGGACACTGCAGAGAGAAACAGAGTTAAAACATCTAGTCAGGGACACTGCAGAGATAAACAGAGTTAAAACATCTAGTCAGGGACACTGCAGAGAGAAACAGAGAGTTTAAAACATCTAGTCAGGGACACTGCAGAGAGAAAACAGAGTTAAAAC